ATATATATATATATATATATATATATATGTGTGTATTCCAAGAGGAGACGGCTCAGAAAAGAGACACGTTAAGGTAAAAGGAAACATAATATCAAAGGAGACAGAATAAAAAGGAGACAGAATAAAAAGGAGACAGATTGAAAAAGACAGAATATAAAAGGAGACAGAATGAGGAGGAGACAGAATATAAAAGGAGACAGAATACGCAGGGAGAATAAAAAGGAGACAGAATAAAAAGGAGACAGAGTATAAAAGGAGACAGAAATAAAAGGAGACAGAAATAAAAGGAGACAGAATAAGGAAGGAGAGTTAAAAGGAGACAGAATAAAAAGGAGACAGTTTGTATGCTTACTGAGAAGAATCCGCTGGGATCTGTTTGTCTCCTCCAGAAGGCGAGGTCTGCTTGCAAAGCCATCAACTCTAAGAAGCAATGAGCGAGGGAGAAGAAGAAAACAAAAACTAACACCATAAAAGAGTTCTTCTTTGCTGCTGCTGCTGCTGTCATCTTCAAAGAATTTGTATCATACGAATCAAACCCGTATGTCTCCTCCAGCAGCGCAAAGCTACCCGCAAGCATCTGCTGCAGATACCAGTAAGCAAACCCTGCAGCAGCAGCAGCAACAGCAGCAGCAGCAGCAGCAGCACAGCAGTAGCAGTGCACGGGGCTCTTTGAAGGAGACACTTGGGTTAGGCGAGGAAGGGAGAGGAGGAGAGACACCGGAGAGAGTACAAGAGACAGTTGCTGCCTGTCGCTTCTGTTTGTGTCTCCTTTAATCTATTGTTGTTGTCTGTCTCCTGTTCAGCAAAGAAAATAGCAAGAGAGGCCTTACCCACGGGCTGGTACATGATGCTGATGCTTAAAGGCTTGCTGGGATCGGATCCCGTGGGATCGGATCCCGTGGGATCGGATCCTGTGGGGTCGGGCAGCACCGAATCCAAAGGAGACATCTGAAGGGGCCTATGCTCATCTTGAGGGGATATATCTGCACTGACGTAAGGCGGCAAGATATATGTCTGAAGAGACACCGCAAGGAGACAAGGAGACAGTTAGAGAGGAGCAGCAAAGGAGACAGTAAACGCAGCAGAAATAAAGAGCAGCAGGCGTAAAAGCGAGTGAAGACAAAGAGCAGAAAATAAAAGAGAGACAGCAGAACAAGATGATGCCCGTATAAACAATCACAAAAACTCTGTCTGTCTCCTCTTCAACGAGGTGTCTCCATACATACCCAGGAGGTGCTGGAGCAGCAGCAACAAAGAAATATACTATACAATAAACAGCACTCCTTATAGAGACGAAAGAGGCAGAGAGACTACATAGACAGACACAGCAGCAGCAGCAGCAGAAGCAGCAACAGCAGCAGCATAGAGAAGGAGAGCGCTGCATGCATGCATGCATGCATGCAGCGCTCTCCTTCTCTACGCATGCATGCATGCATGCATGCATGCATGCATAAGCTGCTTACCTTTTCCTCTGCATCAACGAAAGGCCAGTTGCGACCCAACTTCTTCAACAAACTCGGCATGTGCAGAGGCCGGTGCTCCACTACGGGCCCAATCTGCCACAAGCAGCAGCAGCAGCAGCAGCAGCAGCGGCAGCAGAGAGAGTGGCAGGAGACAGGAGTAGCAGCAGAAGAAGCAGCAGCAGCGAAAACAGGAAAAGCATGCTTATGTCTTCTTCTTCTCAGTGGAGGAGGGTTTGCTGCTGCTTCTCTCTATCAATCTCAGCTACCACTACCCGTTGCTGCTGCTGCTGCTGCTGCTAGCGTTGCTGCGTGCAGTGCTGCTGTTGCTGCTGCTGCTGCTGCTGCTGCTGTTCTCACCATAACAAACTCGGGTATACACTGCATCGGGGGCGCAGGGGTCTCAATCCCTTTTAACTTTTCTTCTAGAATGCTGCCTGTGGGGTCCTTCAGCAAATATCTTTTAATGGTTTTATGCTTCTCTAAACAAACAAAGACAGAAAACTAAGCCACCACAAGCAGATGAGTTTAGAGGGGGTATATACACTTATATATATCTTTTAAAAAGATATATACAAAAACCCCTAGGGTTTAGGGTTTAGGGTTTACCGGGAACCATGAAGGAGCTGAGGTGGCTAAGGTTTAGGGTTTAGGATTTTAGGGTTTAGGGTTTTAGGTTTTAGGACGGCTAAGGTTTAGGGTTTAGGGTTTAGGGTTTAGGGTTTTAGGTTTTAGGGTTTAGGGTTTACCGGGAACCATGAAGGAGTTGAGGCGGCTAAGGTTTAGGGTTAAGGGTTTAGGGTTTTAGGGTTTAGGGCTTAGGGTTTAGGGTTTACCGGGAACCATGAAGGAGGTGAGGCGGCGGACTTGATGAGTTGGTAGTTCGTTGCCCTCTTCATCGGAGACAAAGACATGCAAATAAAGAGTTTGGTTGCTGCTTCTGAAGACAAGGAGACAGATAAAAAGTTTATTTAAAAGAAAAGAGATAGAATTGTTTACTTAAAAAAGAGACAGATAAAATAGTTTATTTAAGAGTGGAGACAGATAAAATAATTTGTTTAAAAAAAGGAGACAGACAGTAAAAGGGTCAGACTAAGACATAAAGAGACAGCAAATAAAGGGTGTGGCTGTCGTGCTAACAAGGAGACAGAGAAGAAGACAAAGGAGACAGAAGGATAAGACAAAGGAGACAGAAGGATAAGACACAGGAGACAGAAGGATAAGACACAGGAGACGGAAGAAGACAAAGGATACAGAGAGGGAGACAGAGGAGACAGAGAAGACAAAGGAGACAGAGAAGGAGACAAAGGAGACAGAAGAAGACAAAGGAGACAGAAGAAGAAGACAAAGGCGACAGAGAAGAAGACAAAGGCGACAGAGAAGGAGACAGCGGAGACAGAGAAGGAGACAGAGGAGACAGAGAAGGAGACAGAGGAGACAGAGAAGACAAAGGAGACAGAAAAGACAAAGGAGACAGAAGAAGAGTTTACCTATAGTGTTCTGGTATCTCAGCAGTAAGAGAAGCAACATTTCCGCTGGAGACATCTAAATAACTTCGCCAGACATTTAAAAAGGAGACAAATTTATTAAGGAGGCCTTTAAGAGACGCCCCTAGCGAAGCAAGTCCAGCAGCAGCAGCAGCAGCAGCAGCAGAAGGAGCAGCAGGGGGAGCAGCAGCAGCAAGATCCCCTGTCTCGTGCTGCTGCTGCTCGCTGCTGCTAACTGTCTCCTCATCTTCAAAGGCATAAGGACGAGAGGAGACACTTCCTACAAATGCAAATTCTTCAGGTAAAGTATTCTTTTGCTTTAGACTCCAGACAACATGCTGCTTTAGCTGCTGCAGTCGGGGCAGACTCGGAAAAGGGGACAGCACTAAATCATAACTCAACCGTTGGCCTGCCTATACGCACCAAAAGAGACAGACACCCCAAAAAGGAGATACTTATACACCCAAAAAAAGATACTTATACACCCTAAAAGGAGACACTTAAATCCCCTAAAGGGAGACACTTAGACACCCCACATATACAGCGAAAAAGAGACACTTATACACCCGAAAAAGCAGACACTCAAACACCCCACACATACAGCAGAAAGGAGACACTCATACACCCGAAGAGGAGACACTAATACACCCCACAGACACAACAAAAAGGAGACACTTATACACCCTAAAAAGGAGACACAGAGACAGTCCGCACATACAACGAAAAGGAGACAGACAGAAGACACCACATTAGCACATCACAAAGGAGACAGACACCCCAAAAGGGAGACATATAGTTGGCCTGAAAGGAGACAGAAGAAAAGGAGACAGACTGCAGATACACCCCAAAGGAGACAGACAGCAGATACGCCGCAAGCAACTAACAGAGGAGACAGACAGCACACAAAAAGGAGACAGAGAGATGCCGACTGCACTCAATGGAGGTAAAGCTGCTGCAGCATAATTAACACCACAAGCGCTCTCAATAACAACAGCACCAGCGGCGGTTGCTGCAGCTCGTGCTGCTGCTGCTGCTGCTGGTGTGCGCAGCAGCAAATCCTGCTGCTGCTGCTGCTGCCAAGGAGGTCGTTGCAGTAGCAGCAGCAGCAGCACATGCAGCAGCAGTAGCATACTTAGCAGCAGAAGCATACTTAGCAGCAGCAGCACATGCAGTAGCAGCAGCAGATGCAGCAGCACACGTACAGTAACTGAAGCGGTTGCAGCAACAGCAGCGCATGCAGCAGCAGATGCAGCAGCAGCAGCATATACAGCAACAGCAGCGCATTCAGTAGCAGATGCAGCAGCAACAGCATATGCAGGAGCAGTACATACAGTAGCACATACAGCAGCACATGCAGCAGCACAAGCACATGCAGCAGCAGCAGCACATGCAGCAACGCATGCAGCAGCAGCAGCAGATGCAGCAGCAGCAGCAGCGTACTTTGAGTTTGTTAGTAACTACGTCGGGCCCCACAGAAGGATCTGCTGTTGGAGGAGAAGTTGCGGTGTACAGACTCCACGCGGTGTATATCGAGTAAGCAGCAAATGCTGCTAGCAGCAGCCTCCCTTTATACCCCATTATAAAGCCAGCAGCAAGAAAGAAGAAAGGAGACAGCAGCAACTAAAAAGGAGACAGCAGCAGCAGCAGCAGCAGAAGCAGCGACACAGCCACACCCTCCACGTTGAGCTGCAGCAACACCAGATGACGACAGAGTCCCTCGCTACCACTGCTGCTGCTGTTGCTGCTGCTGTTGCTGCTGCTGCTGCTGTGCTGCTGCTGCTGCTGCTGCAGCAAAGGGATATGCTGCAGTAGAGTCAATCGGGGCCCTCAAGGAGACACCACGCAGCAGTCTCTTCGCTGGCTCTCCCGCTGCTAGAGAGACAGAGAGAAGTATTTGCTGCTGCAGCAGAGACAGCTTATAATACACCCTAAATTACGAATAAATACCTCAGACAGCAGCAGCAGCAGCCGCTGTTGCTGCTGCTGCAGCCGCTGCTGGAGCTGCTGCTGCTGAACAGCCACGAGCTGCAGCAGCAGGCTCTCATGAGGCCCTGCTGCAGCAAACTTCTGCAGCCTTATAGTTTTGCTGCAGCACAGAAATATTATTATTATTATTATTATTATTATCTTTAAGTGTCTCCTTTATTTGTCTCTTCCGTCTAAACATAATGCTGCTGTCTCCTCTTCTTCAGGGCCCCTCAAAACGAGCAGCAGATTAAAGCGTCTACATCTTTATTTCTTATTTATCTCTGCAAGGAGACAGGAGACACCTGCAGCAAGCAGCATCATTTGCTGCATGTGGCTGTCCCCCCAAAGGAGGCCGCTGCAGTAGCAGCAGCAACAGCAGCAGCAGCAGCAGCAACAATAAGAGAAACAGCAACAGCACCAGCAGCAAAAGGCTGCAAGAGTCTCGCTAGAGAGGAGAAGCTCCGTGCTGCTGTTGCTGTCTCCTTTTTACTGCAGGAGAGCTGGCAGCAGCAGCAGCAGCAGCTGCTGCTGCTACTGAGGGATAAGAAGGAGACAGCACAAAAACAGCAGCAACAGACAGATAAGAAGGAGACAGCCGAGCAGCAACAATAGACAACAGAGATATAAAACGGATACACCAGAGAGACAGCAACAGCAAGAAGGAAAAGAGCAAATGTAGAGATAAGAAGGAGACAGCAGAGAGGCAGCAAAGAGACAGCAGAGAAGCAGCAAAGAGACATCAGAGAGGCAGCAAAGAGACACCCGGAGGAGCATAAGGAGACAGCAGACAGGGAGGAGACAGATACAAAGGAGACAGCTGAGAAGCAGCAAGGAGACGGATAGATATAAGCAAATGCATCTGCAGCAACTGAAGCCAGCGGCATTCAGGTGTCTCTTCACCTAAACAAAATGCTGCAGTGCTGCAGCATCATAGAGAGACAGGAGACAGAAATAAGACAGAGAGGAGACACAGAAGACAGACAAGCCACAGACAGACCGAACGCAGCTAGCTAGCCAGCTAGCTACCTAGCTAGCTAGCTAGATAAATAGATAGACAAATAGATAGCTGGGTAGCAGCAAGCGATGCAACATTATCTGCAGGCAGGTTTTATGTTGGAGCCGAACAGCCTGAACTAACTGCCCTCCTTGCTGGCTAGCCAGCTAGCTAACCAGCTAGCTAGTTATCTAGCTAGCTACACAGTTACATCTAGTATGTCTGTCTGCAGCTTCTCTCTGTCTCGCCCCCGCCTCATCTCTATCTCATGCCTGTCTCCTCGCTGTCTCCTCTCTGTGCTCTGTCAAATTATTTAAGCGTGACGTTCTTAACGCCGGGTGCTTGCATCTGTGGCTGGCTTGCTGCAGCAGCAATTACAGCAGCAGCAGCACTTTCAGCTGCAGTAGCAGCTGCAGCAGCGAGAGCAGCTGCAGCAGCAGCAGCAGCAAAGTGGGGGGTCTCTTCTATGCAGAAGCCCCAGGCCTTCTGCTGCAACGCTTAGACATACGAGACAGCTGGGGGAGCGGAACGCCCTGAAGGTGGCTCGTTTAGCTGCTGCTGTTGCTGTTTCTGTTGCTGCTGTTTCTGCTGCTGCTGCTCTGTGCTGTCTGGCGTACGCTATCCATCATACAGAGACAGCTGGCAGCAGCAGCAGACCGGAAGCCTTAGCAGCGATGCTTTGAGGCCCCTGCAAGTTCCGCAGCAGCAGCAGCAAGAGCAGGGTCAGCAGCAACAATAGCAGCAGCAGCGATACACTTTGGTTGCGGGGCGCAGCCCCTCATTGTCTGCTGCTGCAGATGGAGAGGAGACAGTAAGGAAACAAAACAAAAAAAGAAGTGCTGCAGCAGCAATCCCGCTAAAGGCGCCCGTGCAGCTGCGGGGAGGGCCTTCACCGCAGCAGCTAGCTGCAGCTTCACAATCATACGCAGCTAGCTACACCTAAACACAGCTAGCTGCAGCTACACACAACCAGCTGGATACGACATAACGTATCTAGCTATTACTCTGCGCATATATATATATATATATATCGCTACCGCCAGACGCAGCTAGCTGCCGCTATACAACAGCTAGATGCAGCTATACAACAGCTAGCAGCAGCTATACAACGGCTAGCTGCGCTACCCCGGGCTAGCTACATGTGAACGCGGCTAGCTGCAACTAAACCCGGGTGGCTACCTACAGGCAGCTGCAAGAACAAATACACCTGAGAGTTGATCCCCCCAGAGGAGTATTGACAGCGTGCGTTTGCTGCTGCTGCTGTTGATGCTGCTGCTTCTGTTGCTGCTACTGATGCTGTGCTGCTGCTCAGTTGTTCGACTGCATGCAGCCCGCACACTTCTGCTTCCGGAGCCCCTTTAGAGTATTTACAGCGAAATAAAACAAAGGCGGTGTATATACACCGTACAGTGTAGCCACAGCGCTTGTTGAGGTGTCCGCCATATAGAAGAGTATTTTAATTTGAATAATATATAAAAATAAAAGATGTATATTTTACATTTATTTATAAACAAATTATAAATAAATATAAAGTATATTATACAAACTCTTCGTCTCAGATCCGCGGCGGCCGCTTCGCTGCTGGTCTGACTGCATGCATTTATAGGGTATATTTTCTTCCTTTTTAAATTAAATAACTATTTAGAATTAAGTTTATTGATATATTCATTTATTTATTTCTGTAAACATACCTATAGACGCCCCCTTCTTCTTTTACTTCTCTTTGTGCTTCACCGAGCTGTGCCAGTGGTCTCAGTATTACCTCCTTCGTCTGTATAAAGGTTTTGAGTGTATGCTGAGCTTTCTTGTTTTAATTGATGTTTATTTGATTATTTCTTTAGGTTTAATGAATAGCTGTTTCTCTTCTTCTTCTTCATTTTATGTAGCTCTGCTTAGCTAGACCTGCTCAAGATATTTGAGAGGGTAGCGAGGCAGCGAGCAGCTACTGCAGCAAAGTGGTTTTGCTGAGGAGTTCTGTGCTTTTATTTTTTTTCTTTTAAATATATTAATCATGCAGCTCTGCTTCTTCTCATAGGGCTAACTGCAGCATCGTAGCGGTGGGTGTAGGTGCCTGCAGCACTCTTAAAGGGTTAAGGCCGCAGGGCTACCCTAGGCCATCAGGCGGCTGCTTCTTCTGGGGATCAGCTGTACCTGCTGCTGCTGCTGTTGCTGCTGCACCTGCTGCTGCTGCTGCTGCTGCAAAATGGCGGCGCCCCTGCTGGGGGCGGAGGAGGAGCGGCAGCTGTTTGCTGCAGATGGAGTTCGGGCGATCATGCAGTGGTAGGTCTACTTCTTCTCCTTCTTCTTGCTGCTGCTGCTGCTGCATTTGCTTCTGTCTCCTGACTCGCTGCTGCTGCTAGAGCACACCGTTTTAGTTTGTTGCCGCTGCTGCAGGTAGCACCACCTCCTTCTTCAGCTGGAGACTGCTGGTTGCTTCGTAGCTGCTGCTTCGATTGACTGGCGTTGCTACCGCTTCTGCTGCTGCTGCATGTTTTGCTGCTGCTGCTTGTCTCCTGCTGCTGCTGCTGCAGGCCCCCCGGATATTCAGTAAATGCAGCGGATTGGGTGACAGAGACAAATGATGCATTCACGAGGCCCCTCTCTCACTTCGTCGGGGAGTTCCTGTCTGTGCCTGCAGCAGCAAGACCTGCAACGCCACTTCGCAGCAGCAGCAGCAGCAGAAGCAGCAGGCAGCAGCAACGAGGACGCCCTTGGTGGGGCTCAATGGTCGGCCCCGACAGCAACGGGGGCCCCGGCTTGTTCACTGAGGCACTCCTCTTTAGAGAGCCTCAGGGGGCCCCTGAGGGGAGGGGGCCCCCTCCCTCAGGGAGTTGTTGCTGCAGCCCAGTAGGAGGGGGGCCCCCACAGCAGCAGCAGCAGCAGCAGCAGGAGTGGCACGGCCCGCCCACCAGTGGGGAGGAGCTGGATGTGGCTGCTTCAGATCCCTCAGCTTTCCTTCAGCAACAAAGCAGCAGGGGCCTCAATAGGAGCAGCAGACGCAGCAGGCAGGGGAGGCGGGCTACTGTAGCAGCTGCAGGTGAGCCTGTTGATTGTGCGGGAGCCCCGCTTCGGGGCACGCTGCATGCATCTTGGGGCTGTGCATGCACAGCCATGCATGCTTGCATGCATGCATGCATGCATTTGCTCTTCTTTTCTTATTTGACGTGGAGTATTATGTTGCTGTGCTGTGCAGGGCTTAAGACAGCAGCAGAGCGACAGGGCTCAGCGGGGTTCTGCTCCAGCTGTGGGGCCCCACAAGGGCCCCAGATGCAGCAGAGAAGATCACTGTCTCAGCAGCAAACAGGAGAGGGGCCCCCAGTAGGGCATAGGAGTTACAGAAACAACGCAGCTGTGGGGAGCCCTGCTGCTCAGGGGGCCCCCAACGCCGCTGCTGCTTCTTGCAAGCTACTGCTGCAGAGACAGAAAGATGTGCTAAAGCAGCAGTATCAACAGGTAGAACAGCTGAGGAAGCAGCTGCAGGAACTTGAGCAGGCGCTGGCAACGCTGCAGCTGCAGGGCAACGCCAACAATCTGCAGCAGCAACAGCAGCAGCAGCAGCAGCAGAAGCAGCAGCTGGCCTTTCCGCGGGTGTCGGGCCCATCACTGACACTGTCAGATCTTCAGCCTGTCGACTCCATAGAGGAGGAGGACTCCGTTTGCTGGAGCCTTGACCCTCGCGATTACAAGTAAGGCGCAGTAAACAGCAGCAATGCATGCATGCAAGTATGCATGCATGCACTCAAACGTGCGTTCATGCAACACGCGCATACCTGGGGTCTAAGGGATATTGGCAGCATACAGAATGAAGCGCTGGTTGGCTGGTTTCACCAGCTTGTAGATGAGGCTTGGGTTTATCATTAACGCAGTATATCTGTGCCTGTGTATTCACCTCAGCTATGCATTGTTATATTACTTATCTCGAACGCCGGTTGTTTGTTGTTGTCTTGCTGCAGAAACATGACAGCCGCTTCGGTGCAGTGGATTCCGCCAGCGGGGATATCATCGCGCCATTCGGAGCACTGAATTTAAACAGCCTCTGCAGTGTATACTCTGCAGAGGACAGAGGGGAAGAAGTAGCTGGATGGGCACCGGTTTGGGTTTTGAAAAATAAACAGAGAAAAGCAAACTCGGGCAATCGCAGAGAGTCATCTCTCTCTTTTTGTTGTGCTTAAGAAAAGCAACAGGCGGCGGCCAAACCTTCCTTTGCAGAAACGCTGTTTGTAGATGTAGATGTGCGTTTACTTACATCGATGTCAGTGGGACATTGGCTAGAAACTTAGAATGCATCTAGGAATAGCTAGTTTAAAAGCATGCAGATGTGGGGGAAGATACGCTATAGACAATTGTTTCTTTAGTAGTGCTGAACTTGCGCGAGAAAGCTGAATGTAGCGTGCGCTCCCAACGTGTACAGACAGCTGAAGCAAAAGGCTTGCTAGCGGGTTAATTTATGTGATGGCTAGGTATTAATGCAGATAGATTGCAATGAAATGCGTAAGAAAGTGTTTTCTTCTGCTTTTAGAAGGCATTTAGAGTACTGTGCAGAGAAGCTACAAAAGAAAGAGCGGCTACTCATAGTCGCGCATTCATTTTGAACAAGTCGTAATGGATTGGCTGGCGAGGAAGTAGATGAAGAAAGCTGCAGGAAACCTCATCAAAAAGAAGCCACCGGTTTGAATAAATGATTAATGCATTATAATGAAACGTTTAAACCATCAGATCTCTTAAATTTCCCTTATTTTCATCAAAAATAGCTGTCGATCGTTCACGTTCGGGGCTGTTTGTCTGCCAGCCGCAGTCATTCACCCGCCAGTGTCCTCCCCGCACCTGATCTTGCAGTTTCTCCAGTCAAATGGTGTCAAGTAAGAATATGTTTGAGGCATACTTCGCTTGATTAATCTTTTTTTCTTCGTTTGAGTCTTGAAACGATAGGAGAAGCCCAACTCCTCTCTGGGGTTCTACGGGAGCGCGGGGGCAGAAGTAGTAAGCCAGGTTTCCTAGTGGGCTGCTTGCTGTAAGGATTCTGTGCCTCTTGGGTTGATGCAGCAACCGTATTGGTTTGTTACAAGCCCTTTTTGTTTTAATTCATATATCTTAACATTTAACTTCTCCTTAGACTCCGAAGTCCTCGCTCCCGTTCCTTATTACTCCCCAGTGCCTCCCAGCTGTCCGTCCTTCTGCATCGGCGCATAGACTCACTACCCCAACAGCTAACTCATACTACAGGATCTTCTTCTGTGCTAATACAACCTTGAGAGGCGGAGTTGAACAGCAACACCACACCACCTCTTCATACGTTCTCCATTGCCCTCAGCATATATTAGTACTCACTCAGAAGCGCGCCCCCCAAATATGAGGCCTGTACAACGGCTGCAGAAAAACAGGCTACAGAGGCGACTGGGGAAGCGATAGGGCGCCTCTTTCTGCAGCCCTAGCTCCTCCTTTCCCTTTGCAGGTTCCTTGCTGCAGCAACAATGGAGCAGCAGCAGCTGCAGCATCAGCTGCAACAGCCAGTGCAGCAGCCAGTGCAGCTGCCGATCCTTGAGTCAGCGGTGAGTCGGGGAACCTCCTGCTGCGTTTGAGACCTCAGATATCCCTGCCTCCTAGCAGCAGAAGCTGCCGCTACTGCTGCTCCTGCTGCTTCAGCAACAGCTGCAGCAACAACAAGAGCAGCAGCTGCAGCAGCAGCAGCCCCACTGCTTTAGTGTTGTTTGTGTGGCTGTCTCTCCTCTGTCTGTCTCTCAGGTTGCAATCCAACTGCATGCATCGCCTGCACATGCTTTAAGCCCCACAGAAGCCGTCGCTGCAGCACAAGGCGTGAACGAGCCTCAGGCGCAGCAGGGGCACAGCAGAGACAAACCCAGGAAGCGCCAAAGAGCAGCAGAAGAGACAGGTGCATATACACCTCAGAAAACGCATGCAGCAACTTGCGACGAAGAAGTTGTGGGGGAGATACAGCTGCAAAAGGATACCAGTTGCGCGCCTGCAGCAGCAGAAGCAGCAGCAGCAGAAGCAGCAGCAACAGCAGCAACAGCACCAGCAGCAGGAACAACAGCACCAGCAGCTGCAGCAGCACCATCAGCTGCAATAACACCATCCACAGCACCATCCACAGCATCAGAAGCAGGGCCTGCATCAGCGACAGCAGCAACAACAACAACAACAGCAGCAGCAGCAGGTGCAGCATCTTCAGCAGCAGCAGAAGGGGGTAACGCGCTGCAGCTGGGCCCTGTAAAGGAGGAGGGAGGCACGTCTCTGCAGGCTACAGCCTCAGGCGCTTGCAGCCCCTCGCCATCATCCGTAGACTCTAATGCTTTTCAATACGGAGATGTCTCTCCCCCAAGTGCTTCTTCTGTGTGTGAAGTGAGTTCTTTGCTGCTGCTGCAACAGACGGGCCTGAGCTGCACAGCAGCAACAACAAATGCGCATACCAATTCATTTGTTTCTGCTGCTGTTTCTGCTGCTGCTGCTGTTGCTGCTGCAGATTCTTCAGCTTAAAGGTGTATCTCTCGCGAGCTTAAGGCGAGCGGTATTCAACTGTCTCCGAGACCTTCGTTCAGACAAAGAGGATCTCTCTTTAAATGCCTCAGGGTCTTCAAGCGCCGGAGAGTCTTCAGGGGGCCCCAGTGGGGCCCCCGTTGCCCCTGGGGCCCCTGGGGCCCCTGGGGGCCCCGGGGCTCCAGGAGCCTCTGGTGGGGCTCAAGGGGCCCCTCGGGCTGCTGGGGCTGGGGCCCCCGGGGCCTCAGGGGCCCCTAAGGCTGGGGGGGCCCCCGGGGGTGGTGGGGGTGTTTTAGGCAGTTATAGTATGCACATTTTGAATGTGATGGAGGCGAGCGAGCTGGCGGATTTGGCGCCGTACGCGGAGATATTTTCAGTTTGTCTTTCATCGGGTCTACCCCCGAGGAGTTTATCAGGGGAAGTGCGGCAGCTAATGAAAGAAGGGCTGAAAGCCCTCGAGAAAGCGGGTTATTGTGTGCATGCACGACATGTCTTTGAGGAGTACCGCCGCCTCCTAGCGACTCTCAAACGCAGAGACCTCTTACTCGCTCCCCTGTCCGGCTCACGCTGCAGCAGCAACAGCAGCAGCAGCAGCAGCAGCAACAGCAACAGCAACAGCAATAGCAACAGCAGCAGATCCAATACCATTACCACCGGATGTACCGGACACAGCGCCAGCAGCAGCAACAGCAGCACCTGCGCCAGCAGCAGCAGCACCAGCAGCAGGAGCAGCAGCAGCAGCACCAGCAGCAGCAACTTCTCCTTCCCAGAGGCACCTGCAACCGCAGGTGCGGAAGACGCGAGGCTCGCGGATTTGTGGGCAGCGGCATATGCAGAAGACCCGGCGAGAGAGAGGGGCCCCCTAGGATCACCTCGCAGCAGCAGCAGCAGCAGCAGCAGCAACGCCTCCTGCTGCACATTCGGCAGGCCCCAAGAGTATCTGATGCACTGCAAGGGAGTCATCCTCACGCAGCTCCGCTCGTTGCGCCGCTTGGCGCCAATTTGGGCGTGTAGGTCTCAGCTGCTGCTTATGCTGCTGCTGCTGCTGCTGCTCCTACTGCGTTTGCTGCTGCTGCTGCTGCTCGTGTTGCTTCTGCTGCGATGTATCCGTTTGCAGTGATTTTGCTGCGGTGTTGTTGCTGCCTGTCGTTTGTTCTCTGGGAGCGACTCAATCTCTTTGGCAGGCGGTCAGGGCTGGAGTACATCTGCAAGCTAATTTTATGCTGCTGCTGCTGCTGCTGCTGCTGCTGCTGCTGCTGCTGCTGCTTGTGGTGCTGTGGTGCAGCGCGGGACCGTGCGTATCAGTATCACCTTGAGACGGTGCTGGGCGCGCAGCACCCTTCGGAGTTGTCTCCTTATTTGAATGTGCTGTCTGCCTTAGAGTGGGACCCTGAGGGGAGACACCCTGTCTCAGCAGCGTCTCTCCTTGTGCGTTGGAGGCTGTCTCTTTGTCTATGCGGGTGTCTTTGTCTTCTTCTCTCTTTAGCTGTCTCCTTTGCTGCTGTTGCTGCTGCGCTCGCTGTTGCTGTTTCGTCTTGCAGTCTCTGTCTCCTCGTGTCTGTATACCTCAGCTCGCGGTCTGCACATTTCGTCTTTGTTTGTCTCTTTGTGCTTATTCTTGCAGTGTCTGTCTCCTCTTCTGTCTCCTTAGTCTTTGTCTCTGTCTGGTGTTGAACGCCTTTACTCTCTTTGCTTCTGTTGCTCTCTCCTTTTCAGTCTAAACAAAAAGATTATATATATATATTTAGTTTTGTTTGCGTTTTAGTTTGTGTCTCTGCCTCTGTCTCCTGTCTCTCTGTCTGTATCTCTCTTTGCTGTCTTTGTTTATCTGTTTGTCTCTATTTATTTTTCTTTATGTTTTTGTGTGTAGACGCATGCGCCTCGTCTCTATCTTTTCTTATCCCTGTGTATATCTATTTGCTTATCTGCTGTCTGTCTCTCGTCTTATCTCTCTTCTTGATATCTCTTTGTCTTCCGTCTCTGTCTATGTTTGCTTGTTAGTTCTATATATATATCTATATATATATCTGTCTCTAACTGTCTCTTCGTTTATCTGTCTCCTTTGATGTTGCTGCTGCAGGAATGTCTCCGCGAGCTGCATATTCTGCAGTGTATGGACAGACGAGAGGCCCAGGGGCCTCTGCCTATATCTCAAGGGGAGTTGCTGCAGTGTCTATCTGCTGCTAGCAGCAGCAGAAGGCTTGCTGAGGGGTCGCTTGGGGGCCCCCTAGGGTTTAGCAGCAGCAGCAGAAAGGCAGCAGCACGGGCTGTCTCCTCAACTCCAACACTGTCTACTAGAGGACAGCAAAAGAAGCGTCTGCTGTCTGCGCAGCTCGCAGCAGAGATATCATTAAACCTTCAGCGGCTGTCGTCTACATCTCTCTCTTCACTCTTCTCTTCGGGGAGGGGAGGGGGGCCCCGGGGCTTAGGACAAGATAAAGATACAAGTGATGCGTCTCTGCTGTATGCAGAAGAGCTGCTGCAAGTAGCAGAAGGAGACAGAAACAGTCTCCAAACAGCAGCACAGCAGTTTGCTTTCGTTGAGCTGCAGCGCCTAATGAAGTACTGGGCTGAGGGGGTTCTCCCGCAAGCCGTTACAGCGGGAGACGATCCCGATCCCGATCCCGATCCCGATCCCATACCGAGGAAGACCCCACACCTCTCCCGTTCACTGTCTCCTCCTCCCCCTTATTCTTCTTCTGTCTTCTGGGATTCTCCAGCGAAGCTTGCTGCTCCCTCGCGCTTGCCTCGTACCCGCAGCACTCCTTCTAGTTTTGCTGCTGCTGCTGCTGCTTACAGCAACAGCAACAGCAACACCTGCACATCTGCTACTCTATCAGAGAGCAGCAATGGCCAGCAGCAGCAGGGTCCCCTCATAGCCTCCACGGGGCTATTTCCTGCAGGTAGCAGCGCAGCACAGGGCCTCAGGCTCCAATCACCGAAGCAGCAGCAGCAGCAGCAGCAGCAAGGCGACTAAACAATAAAAGTTAAACGCAATTCCTGCTGCGCATCGAACCCCTGCTGCTCAATGAATAAGATAAACAATTTCGTACATACACCCCGCACTCTTGAGGCCTCAGGCATGCATGCATGCATGCATGCATGCAGAGTGTGGGGTTTTAGGGAGTTTGTCACATTAAGACGACACCTCAGCCCCTTTGCCTTTCCTGTTTCCCCGTTGCAGCTGCTTGGATGCGAAGCCTGAAGGCAGCGTTAAAGCAGCAGCAGCAGCAGCAGCAGCAACTGCAGCAGCAGCAGCAGCAACTGCAGCAGCAGCAACAACAACAGCGGAGTAGGACCCTAGTCCTCAATATATAAGGCCTTTCGCCTTACTCTGTCTGTGGAGGAGACACTTCAAGAAGCTGCAGCCAGCCTGTGCATGAAGGGGCCCCAAACGCATGCATGTTTAGGGGCTTCTGCTGCTGCTGCTGCTGCTGCTATTGTTGTTGTTGCTGCTGCTGCTGCTTGTTCATTTAGAGCTTTGTTTCTTATTTGTTTGGGGCTGAGAGGGGGCATATGGTGAGGGTCTTTTTAATAGAGCAGCATTTTGCTTCTCTTTTGTATGGGAGTGACAGGGCCCTGCGTTTGTCTTTAATATAACTCCACTCTATTTTGAATAGACTGGGAGATACAATAAAAGTAAATAAATAAATAAATTGTATTCATAATAATAACAATAGTAATTATAATAATAATATAATATGCTGAGGCTTCTCTTGTGCAGCAGCGGCACATACTTCATGGCTGAGTGTTTTGCTGCTGCCACGTTGCGCTGCTGCTGCCTTTAAATACCTTGGAGGAGATTTAAGCTGCCTATACACCCCAAGCTGTCTACACCACCTACAGGATGAGGAATGGGAGGAGGCTGCTGTTGCTGTTGCTGTTGCTGCTGCTACTGCTGTTGCTGCTGCTGCTGCTGCTGCTGGGGCTGCACCTTGAGCTCTAATAGGAGTACACCTAAGTGCTGGCGAGGAAGGGCTGGGTTGGGGTGTCTTTGATTTATACGCCATAGGTGATGCTTCTGTGGAGACAGAGTCTGCTGCGCGTTGTCTGTCTCTGTTACTGGGTAGGAAGGGCCTCTAGAAGGGCCTTAGCTGCTTGCTGCTGTTGCTGCAGCTGCTACTGCTGTTGATGCTGCTACTGCTGTTGATGCTGCTGCTGCTGCTGTTGCTGTTTTTGTTGCTGTTGCTGCTGCTAAAGGTGTTTGTTTGCAGCTGTGCAAGCTGCGTATGTCTTTCTGCTGCTTATTGCAGGGCTTGTACATCAATCTGAGAGTTTTGCCTTTGATTTATACCTTTATAATTTGAGAACAGCACGAAGATCGAGAGAGGGAAGCCTGCTGGTTTGCGTTTGCTTTACAGTTGCTGCCTTTCTGTGTTGCTGCTGGGGGGTTTCGTACAGCAGTTGGAGGTTTAGCTGAGTCCGTGTGCTGTGTATTAATTATATATTTAACCTTTTAATTATCTTTTTAAAAATAATTTAAAGAAGACTGCTGGGGCGTCTCCAATAGATAAACAAACAACTCCAGCACGCTGCTGCCCCAGCGGTCGCGAGGGTGTGTGCTCTGGGGTGTATAGGCAGCCAAAGATACTCCTAAGACCCTTCCGTTTACATTTTGAATTGAAATCAATTCATTTTAATCGTTTAAATATTTTTAAAACTCAAATAATTAACAAACAAACTACGCTAGCAGCAGACTTCGCTCCAGAGGCGCAGCCGACGGCTGCCCGGCCGCGACGGGCAGCAGCAAGAGAGCAGCAGCAGCAGCAGCAGCAGCAACAGCAGCAGCTGGAGAGCCGGTGGCTTTGTTTGGGTTTTTCTCTCTGTTTTTTTCGTTTAATTGTGTTTTATTTAGATATATTTGAGTATTAATGCCTCCACAAAGAGGTAAAGAAAGACAGTAGACAACTACTGCTGCTGCTCTAGCCTCGCCTCGCGCTGTCTCTGCCGTCTCTATGGCCGGTTGTGCTGCTGCTGCTGCTGCTGCTGCTGCTGTCTTCGCTGCCGCAGCAAACCTCTTCTCTTTCTTCTCCGGAAGTCGTCTCTAACACTCTTAAGAAACACTTCTGCCCGCCATCCCAACAGCCACGCAGCAGCAGCAGCAGCAGCAGCAGCAGCAGCAGCAGCGCCTCGCCGAGTCCGCGGGAACAGCGGACCGCCGCAGCTGATGCGGAGCGAGTTTGCTGCTGCTGCTGCTGCTGCTTCTACTGCTGCTCCTGCTGCTGCTCCTAATTCATCGTTCCTAAAACCTCAGCGCTCAGCACCACGCCAGCATTAGATGGGCCTCTACAGCTCCAGCGGCTGTCTCCCTGTGTCTGCCGGTCTCTTGCTGCAGCTGCAGCAGCAGCAGCAGCTGCTGCTGCTGTCTCCTTTGCCGTTTACCTTCTTCTCGCTGCTCTGCTGCTGCAGCTGTTTCCAGTCTCCTCCTGCTATCTCCTTGGTGCTCGCTACCCACATGTACAGACAGCAGACAGCCGTTGGCTGTCTCTTCCGCTGCTGCAGCACTTCCTGAGTTGATGCTGCTCGTCTCTGTCTCCTTTTGCTGCATGCAAATCAATTTTCTCCTCAGGGGGTCTCCAGCTGTCACCGCCGCAGCAGCGGCCCCCAATGGCTGCAGCCCTGCAGCAGCAGCAGCAGCAGCAGCAGCAGCAACAGCAGCGGGCGTTTGCTCAGGTGACTCCTCAGCCCTCCCTTTTTCCTGCAGCGTTAGAACAGCTTCTCTCAGCAGCAGCAACAGCAGCAGCAACAGCATCAGCAGCAGCAGCAGCAACTGCAGCAGCAGCAGCAGGTCTTGTTTCCCCTGCTGCAGGCCCGAAGCACCACTTGCTGCATGCAAGCAGCTGCAGCAAACAACTCTGTTGTCTCTCTCACGTCTGCTGCAGAGCGCCGGGGAGGAGACAGGCGGTGAGGGAGCCATGGGCCTCGGTGCTTTGTAAGTGGCAGTTCCTGGGATCGTCTCCCACTCTCCTGGGATCGTCTCCCACTCTTCTGGGATCGTCTCCCACCCCACAGCTCCCACCCCACACCTTCTTCTCCGCCTCTTCCGGGTGCTCCTCCTTCACAGCGACTGTCTCCTTTTGGGAGTCTCTCTGTCTCCCCTTCTTTTGTTTTTTTGTTCTCAATAAGTACGAACCAAGGCAGCGCCGCTTCTATTTCTTTTTATCTGTCTCCTAGTATGTGTAGATGCGTTTGGGTGTCTCCTTACAGCAACAAGCTTCTGTCTGCAGCGGAGACAGCAACGGCCCACCTGAAGAATGCATATGAGGGCCCATGCTGCTGCTGCTGCTCTGTCTGCTGCACTTGGGGGCATCCGAACCACTAAGAAGCCGCTTAAAGATGATTCGTTTGCTGCTGCTGCCGTCTCTGTCTCCCTTGCTGCTGCTTCTTCCTCTCCCCCTCACTCTCCGCAGTCTTCTGCTGCTGCAGCAGCCGCTGCAAAGGC